GGGGGGGGGGAGCCGTGCTTTCCCCGAGGCTTTCCCCGAAGCGGGGGTGGGACACGATGAGGGGAGGATTAGCGCGCGCGCGCTATGGGGAGATCAGTATCATCGCCAGCGGCTGCTACTCGCGCGGGAAAAGGCGAAGGACAACCGCGAACGATCTCGCACAGGCGAATGGAGGCGGACGTAAAGTCCCACCGTCTGTTGCCTCGCGCGAGGACCTAAGGTCAGAGTTCAAAGAGGGCCTCGCCAACGTCGCTCTTCCGAGTCTCCGATTGGCTTCCGGTGATAGCGTAGACGGCCTGGTTCGCATGACGTTTGCGACGTACGCGACGCAGAGCGTGAGCGAGCGGGTTGGTTAGTAAGTGAGAGGGGAGGAAAGATGTTCAGTGTGGCAGGCGAGGTTTTTGGTATCGTTTGGAAAGTAGCGTTTTGTTTACAGGAAACTTTTTGTGGGGGATGTTTTTGTATCATGAGAGTTAGGCAGTACGATTTAAACTGTGAACCATAATTTTGGATACGGATAAATACGGTGTATAACAAACTTTTTAATTTTATTTGAACAGAGGCAGCATGTTATGCATTGCAGCAATGTTAAAATGCATGTTATAAAATTTAAAATAACATCATTTAAAATCAAAAATATATTAAACAGTGACTATGAGTAATGGAGCAATACTATGAAGAGAAAATATATGTTGAAATTTTTCTGTTTTTCTTCTTAAAGTGGGTTGGGCTGTATGTTGTGTTATGCTATGTTTGAATTAATCATAGTTTGATTGGGTTCACAAAGCATACTAAGCCTCAAATCATAATGGCTGGGCTTATATAATATGCAAATAGGCCACCCTAGACTATCTGCCTGAAACTACTACTAAAGTAGTACTGCTACTAAAAACTACTCTGGGTGGTTTAAAGAGAAAATAAAATCAATTAAAAATACAATATAGAATAGTCCTGAATAAATAATAAATAAATGTAGTCCAAGAATTGATGTTAATTGGCAAGTAGCTCGGGGAGCGTCATCAGGGCGCCAGCCACCCCCAGGATTGATTAAGATTCTTGTTGCCCCATGCAAGCTGGCAGAGCCAGGTCTTTAGTCCTTTCCGGAAAACTGGGAGGATAGGGACCCACTGCACCTCTGGGGGGAGAATATTCCAAAGGGCAGGAGCAACAGCAGAGAAGGCTCTCCTCCTGGGCCCCGCCAGCCAACATTCTCTCGCTGATGGGGTCCGTAACATGCCTTCTCTGCCTGACCGGGTGGGACGGGTTGATGTGATGGGGTGAGACAGTCCATCAAGTAATCTGGATCCATGCCATGTAGGGCTTTAAAGGTAATAACCAACACCTTGAATTGGACCTGGAAGCAAACTGGGACCCAATGCAGCTCCCACAGTAAAGGTATTATATGTGCCATTCTTGGGGCACCCAAGATTTTCTGCACAGCCGCATTTTGAACCAGCTGTAGCTTCTGGATGCTGTTCAAGGGTAGCCTCATGTACAGCACATTGCAATAGTCTAACCAAGAGATGGCCAGGGCGTGAGTGACTGACTGGAGAGCCTCCTGATCCAGGAGAGGGTGTAACTGGTGCACCACACAAAGTTGGGCACGGGCCCTCCTGGCCACGACTGCCACCTGCTCCTTGAGATTATGCACCGGGTCTGTCTGGGGCAGTGCAACTCCATCCAAAACCAGAGATGATAAATCCTCAGATAGAGAGGGGCCTCCAATCCACAGCCACTCCGTTTTACTAGGGTTCAGCTGAAGCCTGTTGCACCCCGTCCAGACCCCTACAGCCTCCAGGCACTGCGAAAGGGTGGTCATGGCATCACTCAAGTCACCCAGGATGGAGATGTATAACTGGGTATCATCTGCATGTTGATGATACCTCATCCCATGGTGGCAGATGATCTCACACAGTGGTTTCATGTAGATGTTAAAAAGGAGTGGAAAGACTACTGAACCCTGCGGCACCCCATATAGATTGTTGTTTTTTTAATTTGGAGTCTTAAGATTGCAATATCTTGGGAGAATTAACAGAATTTAATTTTTAATTTTCCTGATTTAAAAAGAAAATTAAGCTCATGTTCTTACTACCATTATTTATTTGTTTTATTTATTTGAATTTATTAGCTGCCCAACTCCGGTGGATCTCATCATAATGGATGAGATCTGTTCTATGCATTGTAAGATTTTCATCCTTGGTTTTCTTATAGTAATGCATTCATACCTAAACTTTGGGAACTCGTGTTTGAAGATGAATATTAAATACTATTAGCACTTCTTGTGTTATGAGATGCTGTTATCAGCTGTCTAATAAGTTTAGTATAATAATGTACCACAAGCATGAAACAAAAATTAAAAGTGTGCAGAACTAATGACATCAGAAAGCTCTCATCAAAAAGCTTCACCAAGCAACAGAACATACATTTATTTACTATATTTCTGTACCTCAATTCTTCTAAAGGACTTGCAGCATTTTACACTTAATCATGTAACAACCATAAGGTTATTTTAAAGTATAAAACTCAATCATAGTGACTATTGATAAAATTTTAACTCTTAAAGGCCCTTCAGTACAGCTTAGTTTTAATTGTCTTTTTAGCAGTCAAGAGTTCTCAGGAAAGATTAGTGCCCCAAATCTCTCACTAGGGAGGAAACCTCAATGTTCCTATCTAGGCCTTGCATACTGGACAAGTAGATTTAGTCCTGAAATGGTCCTCCAGATATCCAAGCCATATAAGGCTGTACAGGTAAAAACCAAAGCTAATTGTACCCAATGATATTCCAGTAATTTTACATTTGCCTGAAATACAGAGGTAACTGGTTTGAAACTGAACATAAAACACTTGAGAGTCAGCATGGTATTGTACTAGAAGCAGACAGACCCAGATTCTAGTAGCTGTGGAAGCCCACTGGATGCCTTTGTGCAAGTCATTCCCTCTCAACTCAACCTACCTCAAAGGACTGTTAGTTTCAGGAAAGTGGTACATATGCTGCTGTGATGGAATGTGTCTACGAAGGGGGAGGTGATGTGATGTACTACAGTAACACAGCAGGTTCTCAGGAAGGAGGGAGCACATTCCAGGAACGGGGCGAGACAAGGGATAACACAGTCCAGAGCTGGATCGTGGGAAGAGGAAGAGATTTAGGATAGCCACTCCCTAGAATCTCCCAGGGTATGGCCACTAGGTTAGAGTAATACAAATTTAATCTGTCAAGATTCTGTCTATATGGTGTAAGCAATAAAAGAACTGAAGTTGGCTGGACTGTTTCTCTGTCATTCTTGGGCTGGGCCTGACAGCTGCCTTGAGCTACTGAATGAAAGGCAAGATGTAAATATAATTTATACGCAAAAGGTAGATATAAATTGATTGAATTAATGAATAAATATGCAGAAACCTACTGGAAACAAATGCAGTTTGAAGTACCATTGATATGTGTGAGTAGCAGCTCTTACCCAGCAACCAACAGGCTGCTGTGGTTTGTACCTGCTGCAGTTCCCAAGTAGTCTTCAAAAAAGCACATTGCAGTAATCTGTACAAGAGATAACAAGGACATGTGTTACTGTTGCCGGGGCATATATGTGCATATATATAAATCAGGGAAAGGATTCAGCTTTTGTATTGTCGAAGGCTTTCACAGCCGGCATACGATGGCTGGTGTGGGTCTTCCGGGCTGTGTGGCCATGTTCTGGAAGTTTTGTTTCCTA